AATTATATGATAAATGATTTTATAGTCAATAATCTGCAAAACAAATACAACTGATTATCCGGTTTTTCACTTTCCTTTTTATTTATAATTTAAAATTGACTTTTAGGTGATATTTATTATTCAAAATTTCGTATTTAATTTAATTATTTAAATTGCTATTAAACTAACAATTTTTTATTTAAAAATAAAATTATTATTAAATAAATTTGTGTCCATTTAATTGCATTACATCTGGATTACAGTATTGATTTTGTTATGGTTTTTGCATTATTGAGAATCCTATGATTAACGGGGAAGTGATTGGAGTGGATATCGGCTTAAGACATACCATTCCTCCTAAACTTTGAATCATTTTATTTATAAGTTTTGTCAATAAATGCCGTAATTATTGAGTGAATACAATCCATGTATTTGTTACTATTTGTGACAACACTTTCAATACAATAAATAGCATTATTTCGCACTAAAAAGGGACCAAATGTGAGTTTATTATTATTGCCATTGATTGGTGTTGTGGAGGCCATTGAATCCAATTATTGAAGACATCTTCACAAAGCAATTAACGAGTGACTGAACCGCCGATTGATCGGATCGGACACCGAGGATGTGGTACGAGATATTGCCGTCGATGGGGGCGATGGCGGTGGCCTTTGCGCTCATGGAAGTGGGACCGATGGTGAGTGGTGTGACTTGAGAGGATGTGGTGATACCAGTGGTGGTAATGTATGTGTGAACTGATCCGCAGATCACTCACTACGCCTCGTGGATGAACCCAATGATGAGGCGTCCCATTGACGAGCCGTCAGACAATTGGATCCGAAGAGACCAACGGATCGCCGACACAGTGCTGCGGATGCGATGGCCGGCCAATCATCACTACACCGTCGGTCTGGACGCCATCCCCGACGAGGGACAGCCCATCACTCGCTTCCAAGACTATCGGTATCTGAAGCCATCGCCGCCTAAGTAGATGGCTATAGGAGTGAGCGTCCGATTGGTCGCTGTCTTGTGGCCGTACTTTGCGTTTAGAAGTGCTTCACGTCTTGTAGTTATTATCAATTGATTAGAGATTTATGTAAATAATAGTTAATTGAATAAAAGTTTTAATTAACGAAATATCTTTGTATTCGTTAATTCATACTATAAGTGACCATAAGATTCAATAAATAGAGCTTTTATTGTCAAAGTTTATCGCAAAATATACTCAAGAATTACAGAAACTGTGAAAATAAGTGCAGATTTTTCTGATATACAATGTATTTATTTGAGATTTAATTGAGAAAATGTAATAATAATGTGATTAGAAATCAATTTTATGGTCATATTCTTCATTACTTAATAGCAATCGTTTGCATAATTCATATCTTTTATGGTTTTGAGTGAAAAGTCTTGAGAGAGACGTCTCGTTAATAAACGCTTCAATGGTTTCGAGCGAATGGAGTGACCGCTCGATCAGAGCATTCAGTGTAATGACTGCCGCTTTAGTGGTCCGGATGTCGATTGTCCGCAACTGAAGACCTTTAATGATAATACTAGCGATGCATTTGTCCGAAAGGTTTCTCTGTCCGCGAAAATTCAATTTTCTTAAAAGTTTCAATCGCTTCACGTTATAGACGATGTCGTCGTTCAATAGGTTATGAAAGTTTTGGTTCAGACCACTGGTCCACAGCTCCAGACATCGGATTTGTGGCAAAAATCTAGTGATACCGTCGATGGCTTCCCTACTAATCATCGTCTGAT